CGAGTATTACTCGCAAGAAAGTAAATGGCCGTTCAGGAAGCGGCCTCTGAAGTGGTGACAAACATACATAGAAGAGACTGTGTATGGAGCAGCGCAGAATCTAAAGACTTGGCACAGCCGCCTTCGATGTGTGGGAACATTCCGGCAAAATCGCTTAACATAGGATACCCATACTAATTACCCGGGCCCTCTTGGTATTCTCGATATTAGATTTATTTTTATTTTTCTTAAAAAATTAGACTGAGACATTTGATCGACGATTTTAAGTCTGGCTTCTCTGGTTGCTGAATTGAAAATGGGTAACAAAATACGAACAACAATACGCATACACACACAGACAACACTCTTGCCAGTATGCGTTTTTGCATTTGCAAAAATACGCAAAAACGCATAAAACTTATCAAGCGTGGACCATGCAGTGTATTCGCTCGTAGCTTATGGATTAGCATGGATTATGTTCTGAGTCCGGCTAAAACTCATGAATTATGTAGTGTATTCAGCGTTGTCTAACGTCTTTTTATGCAATAACTGAACCCCACAGATCAAAAAGCAAATACAAGTTTGTGCACTGAACACAGTGGGGGTTGAGATGAATCCGAAATCTCGGCTGGAAAAGGAAATCACGTAAAGAAGCGAGACGTAGTCACTGATAAAACAAGCAAAAAAGCAATTTTCTTTGGATCTGAAGATTTCTGAGTGAAATCCGTTATGCGTCCATCATGTCTATTTTTTAACTTAACTCGACGCATTTTTTTTTCTGGAAGTGTTTCAATAACTTCAAAAGTATCCACGATGAAAATCCTGGCGAATCGTGGAATCCAAGTTCTTTTCCTTTTCTTCGATTAGCCATTTTATCATACTCCACGCTTTTGCATCATCGACAAAAATTTGGCGCCTTCGTAAGTTTTCGTTGTGCGCAAAATTGCTTCAGTTAGCATTCTCAGTTTTGCAGGCAAACCTAGCTTCATTTCCTGTTTTCTTACATCTTTCTAATGGGGAGAAACAATAAAAGTAACGCATTCCAGCCGTTCTCTGCGTAGTCCACAAGCTGACTTCTTAACGATTTTCCTTATGTCCCTCCATAACAACCATCAGCTGTGTGTGGCCTGTAGGTTGCTAGGAACCTTGTTGTTTCATTCGTGCCGGAATTTCATCGTTTTTTTTTTTGCATCACAGTGTTATTTGATCAGCTGTAAACCGATGGAAAAACAACATTCTGCGAAAACTATATCTATCCGTAACGTCCTGCCGAGAATCCGAAGAC